TTGTTAAAAACAGAAGGTTGTTAAAAACACAGGTTGTTAAAAACACAGGTTGTTAAAAACGCAGTTTGTTAAAAACACAGGTTGTTAAAAACGCAGTTTGTTAAAAACACAGGTTGTTAAAAACACAGGTTGTTAAAAACACAGGTTGTTAAAAACGCAGTTTGTTAAAAACACAGGTTGTTAAAAACGCAGTTTGTTAAAAACACAGGTTGTTAAAAACACAGGTTGTTAAAAACAGAAGGTTGTTAAAAACAGAAGGTTGTTAAAAACACAGGTTGTTAAAAACACAGGTTGTTAAAAACGGGCAGGTTGTTAAAAACACAGGTTGTTAAAAACAGGCAGCTTGTTAAAAACAAACAAATTGTTAAAAAAGTTACAAAATATATAACATATATTACAAAATACAAAAATATATAACAAAAATACACAACATAAAGATGTTATGTAAGCTAATACTGTTAAGTTACATAAAGGCGTGTTAGTGATAGATTAATCATAAAGAAAAAGACTTATAAACAATGACACTTATAACATCTTCATACAGAGGCATTCAAAGAAAAGACTGCTCAATATGTTCTCCCGCTTGAGGGAGAACTTGGCACTCGTCTCCTCCTTGTCCTAGTGTACGGTGAACAAATATCTAGAACACGTGTAATAACAAAGTGTGGAGACGAGACAACTGGCCATATATGTATACAGGTGTTATGAAATCGGTTGTGTATGAAAGTCAGGTGTGTCTACTATATATATGTCTGCTCTGGTATGTCTAATGACGCCTGCCAGGTGTGTCTAGTGACGTCATCAGTAACACCGGTGACGTCAGCAGTAACTAGTAACACCACTGACGTCATCTGTATTAGCACCAATGAAGTCATCAGTAACTAGTAGTGACGTCATTATTACTGGTATCACCAGTGACGCCATCAATAACTAGCAACAAAACTGAAGCCATCATAACCGGCATCATCAATGAGATCATCAATAGCAAAAATAATGCTAGCAGTATGAGCAGCGAGTCATCAATGTGTCACAGCATCAAGACGTCTCCTGGACCACACTTCTCCACACCTGGTATGGCAATCATTCCAGGTCACCACACCACCACAATGGTAAGATCCACACCACTATATTCCCAGCGTTGCTTTGTAAATACTGCAATATATATATATATATATATATATATATATATATATATATATATATATATATATATATATATATATATATATATATATATATATATATATATATATATATATATATATATATATATATATATATATATATATATATATATATATATATATATATATATATATATATATATATATATATATATGTGTGTGTTTACTAGTTGTGTTTTTGCGGGGGTTGAGCTTTGCTCTTTCGGCCCGCCTCTCAACTGTCAATCAACTGTTTACTAACTACTATTTTTTTTTCCACACCACACACACACACACACCCCAGGAAGCAGCCCGTGACAGCTGACTAACTCCCAGGTACCTATTTACTGCTAGGTAACAGGGGCACTTAGGGTGAAAGAAACTTTGCCCATTTGTTTCTGCCTCGTGCGGGAATCGAACCCGCGCCACAGAATTACGAGTCCTGCGCGCTATCCACCAGGCTACGAGGCCCCTGTGTGTGTGTGTGTGTGTGTGTGTGTGTGTGTAATTATAGTTTCGTAATGGGCTATTTCTGTCAACTGCTGCTTCGTGTACTTCTTTAATCCTCCTTGGTAAATGACATGACATCAACTTGGTTAGTGACATGACATCAACTTATAAAAAATATCATAAAAACATCAACAACTAACAATGTGTGTGGTGTTACATTTTGTTGTAAGGTGGTGGTATCTTGACGTATGACTTAAAAGAGGCTTACATTATTGCTAGATCTTCTAGTTCAAATTTTATATTCAATATCATCTATTCAGCCTTCTCAAGTACTTACAAAATTGACACCTTCACTGAGTTTCTTATTTCAAAGTATTTTAATCTCAAATCTTTATAGACATACTGGCTTAGCGCTTGCCCCTCATAATGACCTTATCTTCAATCTCAAACATGTTTAATACAAGCTTTTGTGTGAAGATACCTATACTCCAAAATGATTGCGGATGATATCAGGGTCCATCTCACATTAATCCCTCGTCTTACTCTACAGCTGCCTTAAACAACTGAAGAACTAGATAAAGCATGTGTTCCTTTGCACATATTTACTCTCCTATCATAAATCTCTGAACATTTGAATTGAAAAAAGAATTACACAGACAACTCTATTACAGATGCTCTCATACATTCATGTCATGGTGTCAGATTGTGTTTACAATCTGTATTATTGAAAATTGCTAGCCAGTATATAGTGGATAATAACATTTCATTCGCCGGCGCCATCGCAGCTTTGAACCGCAGACCACACAAGCAGTAGCCCACAGCTCTACCTACCAAGCCTCCAGCACACAATAAGGAACGATTCCAGAAACACCTATATGCTCTCCAACTGGAACCTTAGGCCTTTCCCGGGGTGCCACTTTGGCATGATGTTAGGTGATCCACACCCACGTCTCTGGAATCCTTCCTTATTGAGGGCGATAGTGGTTCAGTAGACAGAGCTGCAGGCGTCTGATTATGTGGTCTACGATTCAAAGCTCCGATGGTCCAAGTGCATGAACAGTTAAATTTTATATCGAGTAGAAAATATGGCAGGAATTACTCAACGTCATCAAACCTGTCCTCTAAAAAAGAACGTCGCTTTTGGCCGTTTGCCAGTATGGCCGAATTTGAACGTAATTTGAAAATGAAAAATAATGAAAATAAATTTGGATTTTTTTTTCAACAACAGTAAGTTAAGGGTCCTCTAATAGGTTAGGTGGGCAGGAAATTCTCATAGTTTCAAAACGTTAATTTAAAGTGTCCTCTTATAACCTCTGCGCGTACGTCGGACGACTCAAATAGAAAACGGAACAGAACGTCACTTTTGTGAGTCGATTTCATTTCAAATTACGTCCAAATTTGGCCATAGTGCGCATACGAGCGAAAAGTGACGTTATTTTTAAGAGGACGGGTTGAAGCATTACCTATGTCATCAATGCTTTTCAATTATGAAATTACAAATTCCACAAATAAAATAGAAAATCAATCTGGTAATCAGTTGATGCTGTCAAAGTAGTCTGAATAGAAGAATAAACCTACAGTACGTTCTGAATAGATTTCTTACAAAAACACTTAAGACAGCACGCCAGAGGCTTAGGACGCGCGCAGAAACATTCATGGCAAAAAAAAAAAAATACCTTATGAGGCAATGCTCATCCAAATGGCCGACCGTATGAGGCTATGCTCATCCAAGTTGCAGCCGACCTTATGACGCAATCATCAACGTAATATGTACAAAGGCATTTTCTCTAACTAACTTTAGAGAGTTATGGAATGATATTACCAAAGTCAATTTTTATAGTCTTGAAACCTGCGCACATGTTCTGTTAGTGTCTGTTGTGTTTGTTTATGTTTGTCGAGTGTGTATATGTCAGTCTGTGTACGTGTTTACCTTACTGGATATCCAAATACACCTGTTTGTCGAATGTGTACATATTTGCCCTGTGTGAACATGTTTGCCGAGTGTTTATATGCTTACCATGCATGCACAACGTTTTTCGTGTGTGTATATATATAATGTTTATGTAGACGTTTGTTGTCCATTTACAAGATTGCTGTATATGAATGTGTATGACAAGTGTGTAAATATTTTCTGTATCTACATATTTTCTGTGTACATGCATACACTTAATACAAATATGATAATTGTTGCACATCTATATATATGCTTTGTTAAGGTGTTGGGAAATATAATTAGTAAATATTTATTTTATTCATGTAAATAATTCTTCAGTTAAAACACTATGTACATGTGCATGATTTTAATAATTGCATAATTTAAGATAACATTACTGGATATCCAAAGCTTAATTATGGTATCTGATATCTGAGGATGAGCTTTGAACTGTATTTTTTAAATAAATAACTTTCATGCTTGTTACACACTTGTTCTTAAATAGTTATATTGTAATCAACATCACAAAGTGCTCAGGTGCAACATTAGCCAGCCCACCCTCCTGTTTAGATACAAAAAGTAGTATCTAAACAGGAGGATAGGTTGTAAAGTAGCTACGTTTCTAATTATGTACTTGCCTTGGAGATCAGTCAATGTTTTCTGCTCGTATTACAGTCTATAATAAATTTAAACACCTTTGTCTTTATGAATAATAACGTTACATTAAAATTCAATGAAATGAAAAAGTTTGTGATGATACGTAAAGTGCATCGCATTCATTTTTAGGCTTAGCCCGCCAGGATCTAGTGGCCACCCAGCTGGTAAACATTAGTCCTAAGTAAAATTCTCGATTAAATTATACTCAGTGTGTATACTCTTCCACATGTGTATGGGTTTACACTTTTTTCAAAATATATTTAGAAACAAAATCTTGTAATACTTGTGTACAATTTTAAGTAAAATGATTCCGAAAGAATTTCTCGATTGTATATGTAACTACTGGGCGTTTTGCTCTCTTGTTATGCGAGTTTTATTTTTGGGGGGAGTTGCATCTGTTTTGTATATATTGTAAATATGTATAATACTTTCATCGCTTTTCCACCAAGCATGTCACTCATACAGTCAACCACACTATCAACCATACAGTTGGTGTTTACATCAGCGATCCTGTGTAAATATTAAAAGACTAATATTTAATTTTTAATCGCAATGTTAACTTTTAATGTTAACGCATAAATGTATATATAATAATAATAATAATAATGTAAAAAAATATGTACTAGCGTAATTTATGAAAATATTTGAACAATATATATGTACCAATATATTAGTTCTTCGGTAATAGTGGTGTAAATACTGGTCAATTGTCATTTCTACGAACTAGATAGTTCATGACGTATTAATCATTATATCTCCAGTGATAGTGACAGTTTAAAGTGCGCACCACTGTTGTGATGAGGCGAGCGGTCTGTGTGTTCCAGCTTGTGGTCTGCCTAACCGACGCTCCCGGGTGGTGGGGGGTAACTACGCAGAGTTCAACGAGTACCCGTGGATGGTGACGCTGATGTACAAGAGCCACTTCTATTGCGGAGGTACTCTCATCAGCGACCGCTACGTCCTCACCGCCGCCCACTGCGTCAGAGGGTAAGTCTTCACGTTCACACACACACTCTTACGTTAGGAGGGGGATAAGACTGGCGCCCACACACACACACACACGATATAAAGACGAGTAGCCTCCCACCATCAGCACAACATGCATTTTGTACTAAGTTAAACTAGGTTATCTTGAGATAATTTCGGGGCTTTTAGTGTCCCCGCGGCCCGGTCCTTGACCAGGCCTCCACCCCCAGGAAGCAGCCCGTGACAGCTGACTAACACCCAGGTACCTATTTTACTGCTAGGTAACAGGGGCATAGGGTGAAAGAAACTCTGCCCATTATTTCTCGCCGGCGCCTGGGATCGAACCCAGGACCACAGGATCACAAGTCCAGCGTGCTGTCCGCTCGGCCGACCGGCTCCCATCACAGGTGATCACAGTATAGTGCCAGTTTGAAAATAACAGTGTCGCCTTAAATAACACATTGCCAGGCAACATAATAGACGTGGGGTCTCTGGAGTGTTTCGTGTATTGACTACACAAATGTATGAGTGGTTGTGGCCAGACAAAGTAGGATGTGCCGGTCATTATTCAGCAAGTTATTGATCGTTGCCGCTGGAGGCGGCTAGTTTATTGTGCACCCCATACTCATCCTGTGAGCGGTAGCGCAAAAAGCATTACAGAGGGCACAAAAGATCTTTATCAGACCTCATCTTAGATTATTACATAAACAATTTCATCTATCCTTTAAATCTTATAGTTACAATATCAGCTAGTTACAGAGAATGTTCTATTTCAAGAGCTATATATTTACAGTAAGTCATTATGCAAGCCTTCTGCAGTGTCCGTATTGTTCTTTTCGTATTATCATGTTCTTAAAGCCCAACAAATGAACCGTAAACGCAGGAGTATTTACCAGAGTACTACAAGAATGTCAAGATTAGCCAGAGAATAGAGGAGCAGAAGATCTATCAGTCCACGTGTAGCCGCTCTTGTTTACATCCAAATGAACTCACTCGTACAGTATATATATCTAATCTATGCCTGAAACAATCAAGCGATCCAGCCTTCAGTATCATGGCAAGGTGTTTCGTGTATTTACAACCCCATTTCTAAACCGTCATTAACAAGGGTCTTTTCAGAATGTAAATTTATACAAATTGTATCCATATCTTCAGATTTTGGTATAAGTTACAGTACGTTATTACATGTGCTTCTTCTGTACCCTTGCATTCATTTACATTCATCATTCATGCTCAATTTACCTTTCCTAGAAGCATTGAAATCTTTTATCAAGGGAGTTTCCTTGTCTTTTGTCCATGTCATGGACATACATTAGTGTGTTGACTAATGTATGCCCATAATGACCATGCACTAGAAATTGAAGAGACGACGATGTTTTGGCCCGTCCAGGTCCATTATCAAGTCCATTGGTCCTGGACCAATAATCAGTCGACTTGATAATGGTCCAGGACGGCCCGAAACGTCGTCGTCTCTTCAATTCCTAGTGTGGGGGTTTGGTCAACATTTTTCAGCCACGTTATTATGACTCATTACTGTTGTGTTGTGTGTTGCTGAGGAAGTCTTGGTTGTAGAGTTGATATAAAGCTATTGCTTGGTTACTAACTTTAATACTAATAAAGATACATGACTAGTAGGTTCCAAGCTTGGCGGGCGTCCTGTACGCTCTCTGTTGTTTATCTACTGCTGGTGTATGAAACGCAGCACATACAAACGGATGGTGCTGTTTGCTACGAACTTGACAATTACCTGCATACATTTGTGTCCTTGATACAGTACAGTACTACAACTTGCCTTATTAGTGTAAATGGGTCTTAAGAATGTCAATATTAAGGTAAAAAATAACAGTAGCTGTTTTCATAATAACACGTCGTGATTCACAAATACGTCGTGTTGTGAATCTTAGCGTCAAATCTGACGTGTCGAACATTTATAAATCTAATGGTTTGCTTACTTAAGGTCTCCTAATCATGAAACAAGGTCTTTATCATATTCAGATCTAGCAATTTCATCTTTGTTCACCTAATATTTTGTAATTCTTATTATTATTTACTAGGCTTAAAACTCTATATTTATTAGTGTTATTTAAATTATATCTGAAAATCTTGATTTTTATTTTACAATTCTTAGTCCTTCAGCGATTTTGAGCATTTCTGGGTGTATTTCATACCTAATTTTAATGCCATCGGCATATTTGTAAATGCCGCTGTTAATTTTGTGTAAAACTCACATATATGTATGACAAAGAGTGTAGGCTCCAGAACAGCGTCCTGGAGCACCCCATTGGCGTCACTTTTCCTTACAATAGCATGTTCTTCACACCTTCCTGGTCAGTCTTTCATGAAACAATATCAAAGGCTTTGCTGTAGCAAGGTTCTAATGTTAATGTTTCCGTTACACATTCCTCATATATGTTAGAAAACATTGAATGTAAGTTTGTTAGACATGAAAAGCTCATTGACAAGTAATGCTGAGATTCGTGCGTTAACCTTGGTTTCTTAAAACGTGTACGAATATATTTTGAAATTATCTATTCAAGCGATTTTCCCCCAACACAGGTAAAACTAATTGGTCGATAGTTTGACTCAATTGATTCACATTCCTACTTAAAAAACGGCACCGCATTCGCAGCCCTTCACGATAACGCCACTCATATAGATTTTAATGATTTATTAAATTTGCAACAACAGTGTTGATAAAGCTCATTTTCCCATTCTTTTAGGATCCTGGCAAAGATTTTCTTCCTGGGAACTTGGTCTTAAATGTTTATATTTGCTTAATAACTTCCTGGTGACCATTTATCTGATACATTTAATCTACTTCACCACCTCCATGAATGTTTTCAACACCGGGTAACATTTTAAGCTCTCTGTTAAATATAATGTCAAACTATTTATTTAGAATATTACCCATTTGTCTTTGTCGTTATTAATTTCATATCTTTCAATAGCCTGGTTGTCTTCCTAATCTATGTTCCATATACCGGAAAGAATCCTTCATGATCAGACTTTACATATGTTGCCATCAATTATCTTGCTTCTTTACCACAGACACATCTATCAAGGCACAGTTCTGGTTAGCTATGTAAATCTTTTACCTAAAATTGAGACATTACTTCTCAAGACCATGAAATGTCATGTATGCAATTCTCCAGTTATAAAATGTTTGCTGACGTGCATCAAATGTTCAGGAGTAAATAATATATTCCTGCAAGTTGGTCAGTAATATATTGTGGCGGCCTTAACAATCCTCTAGATGGTGGTGGTAGACCCTATACCGAACACTAAAAAACTTATTTACTCTAGTTTTACCTTACTACATTCAAGATAACTACAGAATAAATATTAGTCTTCATCTTCTGCCCTTGCATGTGTGGTATTCCAAGTACGTGATTTTCTTGTCCAATCTATCGCATACAGTTTCATTTTGATGTATCTGACTCACAGCTAAACTTAAAGCCTCTTCCCATAAACATTGTGTAACCTCGCCTTGTTGCAGGGTGAGTGTGACTAACCTGAGGGTGATGGTGGGAGACCACATCCGCAGCTTCCCCATCGAGACCCACAGCAAAGAGTACACTGTCGTCTACTACATCTACCATCAACAATTCAACCATTCCACCTACAATAATGACATCGCCCTCATCAAACTCAACCAGAAAGTTGAGTACAAATGGTACTCGCGGCCAGCTTGTCTCCCTATTCCCGGTGAGTGTTCTGTGATCGACTTTGTTACCGTTACTTCTGTCTCCTGTCAACCCGTCCTCTTACAAATTACGTCACTTTTCGCTCTTATGCACTACGGCCAAAAAGGCCGTAATTTGAAAATTGAAAATATATATTGGATTTTTTTTCCAAAACAGCAAGTTAAGGGTCTTTTGGTAGGTTAGGAGGGCAAGAAGTTCTCCTAAGGTTTCAAAACGTCATGAAAACAATTAATTTAAAGTTTCTTCTCCTAACCTAACAGCCTAAGCAAGAAGACCCAAAACAGAAAACGGAACAGTACTTCACTTTCGCATGCCACTTCCATATTGAATTTCATCGATGTTTAGCCTGAGTGCACATACGAGAGAAAATCGACGTAATTTGGTAGTGGACGGGTTGCTCAGCAATATTCAAGTGTTAGTAAAAATAAAATAATTTCTGTTCAGTTTTGTGCCAAGTGTGATGTTACACTTCGCTGATATTATTAATACATTATCAACCTTAAATTTTCAGTAATTTATTATTTATATCTGAAGGCCATGATAAGATTGTCCTCTGGATACTTATACTAAGATATGCCTCCCTGCTACTAGAGTTTGGAATTAAAGTATACTTTAATTCCGTACGTTGACAACTTACAATTTTAAACGTAACTAATATCGGTGGTATATCCACTGATCTAAACATGAAGTATATATGCCAGTATATATCCTGGCATATATACTCTTATAATACACTTTTGCCCTCTCCTATGTTCAGGATTAAACTTGTCTTGCTGGTTGATGATTTCTTTAATCCAACATCGGTTGATAGGCCTAACATTTACCCCAACACCAACCAAACCAATATTAACTATTAGGCTAGTTAGGCACGCACACACACACTATGCAAAATCTTGCTAGACACAGTCTTTACTACACACGAACTTTATTACTTCTCCAGGTGTTTCCTTAATAATAAATTTCATTAAATCATGAAATTTAAGAACATCCGGGGCCCTCGGGGGTCCACTCAGAACCCATATATAATACATGACATCAATTTTCCAAAGTTAGTCGAATTCCTTTCAAATAGAAATCTTCAGAACGTGAGCATCTACTTAACAAAGGAATTTTATCTATTTTTAGAAAAGTTTATAATCAGGTCATAAGTATGGCCTAATACTTATGCCAGTAAGTATGTTGGCATGTATGCATTGCAAGCTATGCCGGCATCAGCTGTACTAGCATATGATACTGAGCTGCTACTACTAGATAAATCTATGTTGTTATCTAACACTGCTGTGCTAGAATTTGATTCTGTGGGGAAAAACTGCCGGGATTGATATGAGGGAGAACTACTAGGGACTTGTACTGTACTAAATTAAAAAATTACTGTTTGCAAAATTAGTTCAACTAAAGTCTAGCTAGGGTCGTAAATCCTAGCCCCTCTTTTTCCTAATGACAGACTGTGAGCTATAAGGGGCAGGTGGGGGTGAATGAAGAAATTGATTGAAGATCCACAATCCACCTGCAGGCAATTATCTCACATCAGCTTGTATTTTTAATACAAGGATAAGATTTCAATAAATTTAGTTCTATGACTGAACACTGGTTCTGTTTAAATCAGGGATTTAAACATGTACACAGTCCAGCCTACCACCATAACTATTAACAGCCAATATTCATTTACTATAAACACAACAATTTAAATTGTGGAAGTATGTTAAATGACCTTAAATGTGGTCCAAGTACTGTTAACTAAGTACAAGAGATTATATTCAATAGGTTAAACTTATATGATAACTAAGCAACTATTGTTAACTCAATTTATATGTTCAAGTATATTTATAGATATATTCAATTTATATAAAGAGATTCAGTCAGCCTGACTGAAACTCTTCCCAGACTAGGGACACTTATGAGGTAGTGTACCTCACGGATGTCTAGGGTCCTGGAAAAGATTCAGTTGCTGCAATATTAATAAACTTACTGAAATATGAGGTGTTGCCTCACCCTGTAACCGAAAGACAGACTTTTTGAATATATTAAAGTTATACAAGCATACAATTGGCCAATTAATAAACTAAATAACATTCAATATACTTCTCTGAATGTCGGGTGCCTGTCTGACAATTGTGCCAGACTGAATAACTCTCTTGTCGAGTTTAGACACGATATTTTATATCATAGCTTTGCTGTAGATTGTTCTGGTAGCGTTGCTACGTGATTATGTCCTTAATTGCATTTACAGTAGGCTAGATAGGTGGAGATGCTGTCACTTTGATGTTTTAGGAATTTTTTCTTGTAGATATATCGTCCAGATACTCTCCCAGCTCTAGAGAGTAATCACTGGTGATAAAGATAATTGGATAAGGTGTCCTAAGCTGAATAATTGTTTGCAAGGCACCGTCACACATTTCATTGTTTGTAAACACACGCGTTCCGTAGGTCGCTTACTCCTGAGTTGGCTCCTCCCTTCTTTTTGGAGAAGGTAGCCGTCAATGAATATTGATTGATTATTTTTACTGTTTAGACATATGATCAAGATAAGATGTGATTATAATATAATTAGATATAGGATTTAAAGATAATAAATAGTACTTGATAATACTACTGATTCTTATTAAGGATTTGATTTAATCCCTGCCGGAAATCGTTTCAATTGTTCCAATAGTTTTTTAATTAAGAAATCCTTCTAAAAGCTTCTGGATCTTTGAGAAATCATGCTCAAAGTGACGTAGGCATATGATTTTGACTCTGACATGATTTTGTTATGATTTATATATGATATAGAAATAATATATTTCTTATATAGTAATATAGAAATGGTGGGTAAAATTTCCCACAGATTCTGCTGTGCTAGTCAGTGATTCTGCTGTGTTAGTATCTAATTCTGTTGTGTTAGTATCTAATTCTGTTGTGTTAGTATCTAATTCTGTTGTGTTAGTATCTAATTCTGTTGTGTTAGTATCTAATTCTGTTGTGTTAGTATCTAATTCTGTTGTGTTAGTATCTAATTCTGTTGTGTTAGTATCTAATTCTGTTGTGTTAGTATCTAATTCTGTTGTGTTAGTATCTAATTCTGTTGTGTTAGTATCTAATTCTGTTGTGTTAGTATCTAATTCTGTTGTGTTAGTATCTAATTCTGTTGTGTTAGTATCTAATTCTGTTGTGTTAGTATCTAATTCTGTTGTGTTAGTATCTAATTCTGTTGTGTTAGTATCTGATTCTGTTGTGTTAGTATCTGATTCTGTTGTGTTAGTATCTGATTCTGTTGTGTTAGTATCTGATTCTGTTGTGTTAGTATCTGATTCTGTTGTGTTAGTATCTAATTCTGTTGTGTTAGTATCTAATTCTGTTGTGTTAGTATCTAATTCTGTTGTGTTAGTATCTAATTCTGTTGTGTTAGTATCTAATTCTGTTGTGTTAGTATCTAATTCTGTTGTGTTAGTATCTAATTCTGTTGTGTTAGTATCTAATTCTGTTGTGTTAGTATCTAATTCTGTTGTGTTAGTATCTGATTCTGTTGTGTTAGTATCTGATTCTGTTGTGTTAGTATCTGATTCTGTTGTGTTAGTATCTGATTCTGTTGTGTTAGTATCTGATTCTGTTGTGTTAGTATCTGATTCTGTTGTGTTAGTATCTGATTCTGTTGTGTTAGTATCTGATTCTGTTGTGTTAGTATCTGATTCTGTTGTGTTAGTATCTGATTCTGTTGTGTTAGTATCTAATTCTGTTGTGTTAGTATCTAATTCTGTTGTGTTAGTATCTAATTCTGTTGTGTAAGTATCTAATTCTGTTGTGTAAGTATCTAATTCTGTTGTGTTAGTATCTGATTCTGTTGTGTTAGTATCTAATTCTGTTGTGTTAGTATCTGATTCTGTTGTGTTAGTATCTAATTCTGTTGTGTTAGTATCTGATTCTGTTGTGTTAGTATCTGATTCTGTTGTGTTAGTATCTGATTCTGTTGTGTTAGTATCTAATTCTGTTGTGTTAGTATCTAATTCTGTTGTGTTAGTATCTAATTCTGTTGTGTTAGTATCTAATTCTGTTGTGTTAGTATCTAATTCTGTTGTGTTAGTATCTAATTCTGTTGTGTTAGTATCTGATTCTGTTGTGTTAGTATCTAATTCTGTTGTGTTAGTATCTGATTCTGTTGTGTTAGTATCTGATTCTGTTGTGTTAGTATCTGATTCTGTTGTGTTAGTATCTGATTCTGTTGTGTTAGTATCTGATTCTGTTGTGTTAGTATCTAATTCTGTTGTGTTAGTATCTAATTCTGTTGTGTTAGTATCTGATTCTGTTGTGTTAGTATCTGATTCTGTTGTGTTAGTATCTGATTCTGTTGTGTTAGTATCTGATTCTGTTGTGTTAGTATCTGATTCTATTGTGTTAGTATCTGATTCTGTTGTGTTAGTATCTGATTCTGTTGTGTTAGTATCTGATTCTGTTGTGTTAGTATCTGATTCTGTTGTGTTAGTATCTGATTCTGTTGTGTTAGTATCTGATTCTGTTGTGTTAGTATCTGATTCTGTTGTGTTAGTATCTGATTCTGTTGTGTTAGTATCTAATTCTGTTGTGTTAGTATCTGATTCTGTTGTGTTAGTATCTAATTCTGTTGTGTTAGTATCTGATTCTGTTGTGTTAGTATCTAATTATGTTGTGTTAGTATCTGATTCTGTTGTGTTAGTATCTGATTCCTGTCTCCCCGTCAACAGCGCTGGTACACTGACCACAGTACTGATTTTCCTGTTGTAGCTCCTGTCCCTGATGTTGTTGTTGTAGCTCCTGTCCCTGATGTTCCTGTTGTAGCTCTTGTCCCTGATGTTGTTGTTGTAGCTCCTGTCCCTGATGTTGTTGTTGTAGCTCCTGTCCCTGATGTTGCTGTTGTAGCCCCTGTTCCTGATGTTGCTGTTGCAGCTCCTGTCCCTGATGTTGTTGTTGTAGCTCCTGTTTCTGATGTTGTTGTTGTAGCTCCTGTTCCTGATGATGCTGTTGTAGTTCCTGTTCCTGATGATGCTG